GAATTTTTGCAAGGGCATGTAGTGACAGGAGAAGGGGCAATGGATTTAAACTGAAAGAGGGCAGATTTCAATTAGATCTAAGGGAGAAATTCTTCACTCAGAGGGCGCTGAGGCACTGGCACAGGTTGCCCAGAGAAGCTGTGGCTGCCCCATCCCTGGAAGTGTTCAAGGCCAGGTTGGATGGGGCTTTGGGCAACCTGGTGTAGTGGAGGGTGTCCCTGCCCATGGCAGGGGGGTTGGAACTAGATGATCTTGAAGGTCTCTTCCAACCCAAACCATTCTGTGATTCTATGAGAGAAAAGTTCTGTAAATACATGAGCACTGCTCTGTCTTCCAAGGATCAGCACCAGCTGCTGAAAAAGACGCACAAGAAGAAACCCCATAATGATAAACAGCTCTTGCATCTTCCAAATTGCTTTGCTCTCAGCAGAGACAAGAAGCATCAGGCCGCACAGGCACTTATTTGCTCCCAGGCTGTGTTTACGTGATGGATAAGCAAAGGATAGTGAAGAAGCCTATAGACATATCTGTAAAGGGTGGTACAGAAACTCTACACGAACTGGTCTCGCCTTCGTGAGGCCATTGGCCAACGGACTTCAGTAACTGCTGGTGACTTATTCTACAATTAGAGGTTATAATAGCTTCCTCCTTTCATTTCTCTTCCACAGTTTCTGTTAATTTTGTGGGGTCATAGGACCAATTACAGAAAAGAGATGAGCAGAGCAAGAATGGTTCTAGTTATACATTACCTACGGGAACACAGGGGAAGATGCCAACAGCCATGTTATCTTTGCACGCCCTCGGCCGTAAGATGGGATGCTGTACACAAGTTAAAACTGTTCAGCTGGAGGTAAGGCAGCTCACAGTAAGTTACACTACAACACATGCCTGCCAGTTTTCAGCAATTCGGAAAAAAGGTGGTCATGTCTAGCAGGCAGGAGAAGAAATAAAAATTATATATATATATGTGTATATATATACATACAGAGGAAAGGAATTAAAGGAGGCAAACAGAGAATAAAGAAATTGGGAATGATGCACATTATGTTTTTTTTTTTAAAAAAAACAATAGTATTTTGGGAAAATCTCCACCTTAAACCATCATATTATTTCAGAAATAGCTTTAGCCTATAGCCTTGATAGCCTGAGGCTAACCAAACTTCCAAGAAAATGAAGGAAAATTACTACCTTCCAGTAACTTACACTGGCAGAGTTTTCAGTTTTCCTTTAGCGAGCGCTTACTGGCAGATTCCTGCTTCTGTATTTTGTAGTTTTTAGCAAGCGAAGAGCAAGTGACTGGGGATAAAAGCAGAAGCAGCTCAACCCAAGGACATTGCCACCCAACACAACTGCTGTGCAAAAAGAAGGAAAGAATTCCGCATCCCAGGTCCCTACGGCACGGCCGCTGGATCAGACATCGGTGCCTTCCCAGTTTTTAACATCATTAGCTGCACACGTTGTGTGACGAAGAAACAAAATACAGGATTTCCTGTTCTGCAGCCACCGTGCTGGGTTGCAGATGCCGGCAGGATTCCAGCTCTCCAAAAGCATGTGGAATTTGAACAAGGAGTCGCTGGGGCTGGGATCGCTGCGAAAATCGGTAGGAAATAAAAGTGGAAAGCTCGTTCCTCCTGCTCCCTAGCGTGGATGTCAGCCCCTCCAAGGATGGGAGGCACAGGAAGGTAAGCTCGATTTCTGCTCCGTGTTTTCCTCGGCAGATGGAAGCTATCACAGTTTTGAGCAACGTTACCACTTTTTTCTTTTTTTTCCCCTTCTTCTTGAATAGATGTTATCAGGCAGAAGCCGGTGCAGCATCCTCAGCAGCTTCTGGCTGTGCCCACGTATTTCGGTATCGGTGGGCGAGCGGGGCTCGGCGCAGCCGGGCAGGCTGCTCTGGGTGGCAGGAAAGCCGCTTTTACCCAAAATACTTCGATTTTGTGGTTACTGACAGAGGCTGCTGTAAACCGCTCCGCTCTATTTACATGTTTCCTATTAATGCCTGAATTAAACAAACAAAATTCTTGCTTAAAACACAAGTCCCAGAAAAGCTCCTGATTTGACGTAGTGGAGGCTATTTCAAGCCAAATGTGGATTTATTTTATTTTATTTTTTTTTTTTCCTAGATTGCTTTTCCCTCCAGCATCCCAGGCTTGAGCAGGGTCGAAGGGAGGCAGTTCTGCCCCCGTCCCCCAACTCCAGGGCTCCCAAAGTCGGGATCCTCCCCCCCTCCAATGCCTGGAACGCAGCTTTAGCCCAGTTTGTCTGACTAACCCGTGGAAAAGATGAGGGTAATTTTGCCAGTGAATCTGGGAGTAGTAAATTCAATACCGCAGCAATGTAGGGCTGGGTGGGGTGCGGGGTGATTCAGAGCAGCCAGGCGATTCCCAGTAACGACAGCCACCGCCGCCTCCAGGAGCAGGCACTGCTGACACCCGCAGGAAAACACACACGGGGGCTTTAGCAGCTGCCTTACCCTGCTAATTAATCACAAAGTTCCTTGATGCTTAACGAATCGCAGCGCTACATCCCCAAGCAGTGGTCTCACTCCTCTGGCAGGGACACTGGTCTCCCATCTCCACCCCGAAGCGTGGGGGGAGGCAGAGGGGCTCGGGGCCAGGCGCAGGCGGGAGGGAGGGTGAAAACTGAAAAACAATCATAAAAAAGGAAACCCAGCCTTGCAGGAAGCGTGGCAGTGAGCGAGCGCTGGCCCGAGCCTGGAGCGGTGCTCGGCGGGGAGCTCCCTGCAGCTCCGTGGCCGGGTGCCCCAACTGATGCCATCAGCTAAAAACTGAGAGTGGCAGGTACCAGGAGTGCCACCCAGCCCTCCTGCCCAGAAACAGGCACTCCAGTGCTCCCAGAGAGAGCCAAAAAATGGAGAAAACGAGCAAAGAGGCTCCCCACGATTCCAGCTGCCGGGACAGGGTTTAGGATTTGGGCTGAGCTGCGTGGCAGGGAGGAGGTGGCAGGACAGGGACACTTACAATCCTTTCCACAAGCCCAAACCTGCAAGTGCCACCTCTGTCCCTGGAAGGCTGTGACAAGAGCCAGGAATAGCTGCATTCCCCACACTCCCCAGCTGTTTTCCCTCCCCATTTTCTGCAGGGATGTGAAGACGAGATGTCCTGGCACCGCTCAGACAGACTCAGGGCAGCGGGCACCAGCCAAGAGCAGGGCCAGGGCTGAGCGCCAGCCCCTCCTGGGTTTTCAGGAGCATATGGGGATGCTGCAGGGACCAGAGGGGTTTGTTCCCCCCTGTCCCATCACGACAGATGTCCCTGCTCCCCTGCCTCATCCCAGCTGGGTGGAAAAAATCAGAAACCTCCGACGCGGAGCTGCCGGCTCAAGCAGAGTCAGCAGCCAAGAAGTGCAGGAGCCCAGCAGCCCCAGTTCCGCACAGCCGTGCTTTTTTGGAGCCAAACCCTGGAGAAATAAGCTAAGGGGAGAAGGCAGTTTGGGAAGGGCTCAGTTCAGAAAGCAAAACGTGTGTCAACGCACCGACCCTTCTGGCAGCAGAGGTGCGGGCGGTGGGCAGCCCGGCGAGAGCTGCTGGCTGTGTTTTATGGATGTGTATATGGGTAATTGTGCTTATAAATATCTCACCTCCCTCCTGAAACTGGAAACACGGCAACCTCCCCCTGCAGAGCCGCCTGGGTGAGGAGGAGCAGGGTGAGGAGCCTTCACCCCATGCCTTGAAGCGCCGCCGGGCTCTGCGCAGCAGCCCGCTCCCCGCTGCGGGCAATTAGCTTTTAGAATTCCGTTTCTAACAAACACCAGGCTCAGGGCGGTGGGAAACAGCACCATTAATGCTTCTTAATTAAATCCCACTGTCGAGGGGCTCGGTGGCCACGGGCGC